TGTTTAGTGTTTTGTGAGACATCATTATTGGTGAAATTTTCACGGATTATATTTTAAAATGTTGAAAATGCAGTGACTTCGTTTCTTACTTTTGTATGTTTGGATGTTTGGGTTGGTGATGTGCTTTGAGCTTCTGTTTTTTCTAATATAGATATATAACTTTATATTATTGCAAAAACTTCGTTGGTGAATATGGAGTTTGCTCTCTGTGAATTTTGATATTGTATGCTTTTGATATGTTCTGTGAATATTTTTGAAAATTCTAAATCAATATCGTCTGTTCGGATTACATATTTACCATGAGCTGTTCGTGGTGTGCTGAATTCTATAGTGTAGATTCCCTGTTGTTGTGTTAGGTTACATATGTCTTTCAAATAATTTTCTATAATTTGTCTTTTGATTTTTATATCCGGAAATTCTGCTTTAAATGGACTGATTCCTGGTTCAAACAAATTTACGAGTAAGTTTTTACAAAATCGTGTTTGTCCTCTATCATTGAGTGAATCTATAAGAAAAGGAAAAACTGTTTCTTCAGCTGGACTTTCGACACTTTGAGTGTGGCTCACTTTTTCGTTTGATGACTATTAATATATATAATTATCAATATGTCTAATTGATTGATTCCAATTATGTAGGTGAACTGGTTTGTGTTTGTATTGCTTTTTTATTCCTCTTTTTCCTCTTTTTGATGAGTTTGAAGTTGTTTCTGAATCGGAAAAACATAATTGATCATGGGTGGGGCAATTTTTATTTATTGATTCTTTTAATTTGTATAGTTCTATTTTTGAAAATGTTTTTTGTGTTATTTGTCTTTGTTTGCTTATAATTTTTCTTTTTATTGTTTGTCGTTTTGTTCGAATGTATCCAACTGTTTGTGTATGTGGGGTTATTACAAGATCGTATTTTTGGTTGTCTATTTCACAATTGTGTAAAACGATTGTTTGTTTATTTCCTAAATTTTTGAATGACATAAGGTTTAGGATGAGGGATGCAAGAAGTTATTAGTGATTTTTATTTTCCTAGACTGTTAGTCCTTTTTTGGTTAGCTTAACCTGGGTCTTTTTGTTCAGGGTTGGAGAGAAAAGTATATCGATTCCGGAGAATGATTTTACATTCTCGTGGCTAGTCTAAGTTAAGGTGTTAATTTACTTAATCTTACTTAGGGGTAGTGATTGTGTTCAAGGGTTGGATAATAGTAAATCGATCCACAAGGTTCAGGTATAATTAGAGCGCAAGTAGTTCGTTAGATACTATTTTAAACTTACTAATTCTACAATCTATCCTGGGTCTGGTAAGAGGAGGGTTCAAGTGAAGGATGAATAACCGAAGTTCTTCACTGTTTAGCCTAATTTGAATGGCCAGTGTTATTAAAAATTTCTATTAGTCCTGGGTCTTTTGAAAAGGTTGGATAGTGAATCGACGTTTGAGGTCGTTAGACACTTGATAAGTGGGTGGGGGAGAACAAAATTGTTCTTTTTGATCCAAGGATAAGCCTTGTCGATCAGAATTTAAAATTGATAAAATAGAAAATTTATTTACATCCAAGGAAAGCCTTGATGATCTGGTTTAAGATTAAATAAAGTTAAGTTTAAAATGATTTAAATTTATTTGTTAAAAGGTTTTAGTTTTTAATGATGTTAGATGGCTTACGATTGCTGTTATGTTTAGGTGAAGAAGCTGGAAGAACAGGATGATTTATATTTACTAACAGTTTATTGTCATGCTACTAATTTTTATTTTTGTTTTCAATAAATATTTTTCAAATATGTTTTATATAATACTGCAGAAGTTGAGAGAACGATTTGAGATCTTTTTATCAATCGTTATTGTACAATAGTAATTTTGTTTAGCGCCTGAAATAATCATTGAAGGTTTGCTTCAAGGGTTTTATGTTTGCAAACGAAAATTTAAATTCATTGCTAATAAGATTATAAATATAAAAGTTTGTGACGGCTTTTGCCGTACAACCATGAAAATAAAGGGTAAGTTTCTACGTAGTCGTATGTCGTCTCTTGTCCGAGGTCTCTTTCCAATACCTGGTAGTTCTCGTATTGTGCGGAAAGCGGCTCTGATCTATTGAGTCGTAGAGACATTTCAATAAGTTATTGTCGTGTAACATTTTGAAAATGTTTTGTCTATTTTCTAATCTATATTTGGTTAATTCTAAGCTATTAAGGTCTTATTCGAGATTTATGGTCGCACCAGATGAGTTGGGTACTTGAGGTTAACTCATAGAGTAATTTCGGATAGGGTACACCGTCTGCTCGTCACGCTATCTTATTTTCGGCCGGATAGATTCGTGCAACTTCTTAGTCTAATACCGACCCTAATCTTACTCTTATATCTACTAGTCTCAGAGTGTTTAACTAGTCTCTGCTAGGCTCAATAGATCTAGAGTATACTGGCTTATTGCGACTGCTGAAGTTCTCTTGGAGAGGTAACTAATTTCTAAGTTAAGTTCAAATCTCTCTGGTGCTGAAATTACAAGTAATTTCAGCATTTACAAATAAGTGGGTTGTTAGTTGGAAGGATTATGATTGGTTAATATTAAATATTTTACCGTGGTAAAATATCTAATTTATCCAATAATAAAATGTAGTTTAGATCAGGTTCCAGAATTCATGAATTTCCGTCGCATGAATTTCCATCCACGGGCAATAGCACAGGTTTTTGAGACGACGGTTGAAATTTAAAAAAAAATTCGAACTATTTTCGAGAAAGTTTCTTTGGTAAGGTCACATGAATTAGTTTAAAAAAATGAGACTTCAGTGTCTTTCGATCTGAGAATTCAGTGTCTTTCGTAAGCTTTGTGTAAACTTTGTGTCATTAGTATGAAGTTCAGTCCAGTTTGACTCTAAACTTTTAAATTTTTATTTGCAATCTGAATCAAGAATGAAAAGGTTTTCATAAGATACAACACTTGACTACCTATGAGGTAGTCAAAATTGGGCGGAAAATTAATTCTATTTCATGACTCCGTGCAGAGTCTTAACCATTTTAACGAGTTTTAACAATGGTTAAGACTCCGTGCAGAGTCTTCACCATTTTTACGAGTTTTAACAAGCCTAATTTTAAGTTGAGCAGTCAGACGCCCAGGGCAAATAAAAAGTTTTACTCGCTCGAAAAATTTCGCTTTGCAGTTTACAGCGAATCCAAATTTGGATCTAGCTATGCATTATAGCCAGCACAATACACTAGCATGTGCGCGACATTGTCAAATGTTTTTACCGTTGGATATTTGCTTCGATGGAGTCTTTGTTTTTAGCTTTGGATCGAAGTATGCTGAGCATTTCGAGTTTAATGCTTTGGGAGCCTAAATTACAAGGAGACCGGTAAATTTAAACCGAATTTCCATCAGATATTTTTGTTTTTTGGCCAATGAATTTTTGAGAATAACCATTGCGAAAGACTCAAAACTGAGATTTTCAATTAGTGTTTAACATTTAAATATGAGATTTTAAATTAGTGTTTAACATTTAAATAAAACTAAAAAATATACACTTAAGAAAGAGAACTTGTTGTTCCGACTTTCGATACGAAAGTAACGACATATTTGTGCTCGGGGTGGGTTTTTTTTCTTCAGACAAATTTCGACTTTTTAACTAGCCATTTTTGACGAAATTTTTTAACATCATTCGAAAGGTATTGTTGTCCTGAGCTCAAATTTGAAAAGATATTTCACCTGTGTTCCTTTTTGGTAAAGTTACGGGGGTTTAAAGATTGCCATTTTGGGACAATTAACGCGCGATATTTCGCGCTATTAACGCGTAAGCGGAGAGTTAATCCGTCTTAGAAATCGTTCCAAATTGGTTAAAAGAAGCTTATTTGCCATACTTGGTTTGTTACAAGGAGCGAAATCTATCCTTTTGTACTTTGTATGGCGTGTGGGGGGATGATTTTCGTAAAAAATTTCAAATTTTAGAAATTTTTTTTTTGATTTTGTTTTATTTCATTGAATTTTTAAATGTTATTACTGCTCCATAAACCTTAAAAGGCAGTCGGAACATTCAGGGCTTCCGGAGATTCAACAAAGCGTTTAATAAACCTGAAAAGAAAAATTGGTTTCGGCTTTTCGGGGTTGGGTCATTTTTCGGTTTTTACAAGCATTATTGAGATTCTAGTAATTTCGATAAATACACTTTCCCTATAGTTAGCGTTCTAGTAGACTTTCTTTTGTTTTCAAGGGTAGTAATTTTCGCGTCTTTTATAATTCTAATAAATCTAATAATTTCAAAAGAAGAGTTTATTTTAATTCTATAATTTTTGATATTTTCGTTTTTTGACACGTACTGTTGCAATTTGGGCTGTCATGACATTTTGAGCGTGCGGCAATTTACTATAGCCATAAATGATTAGAAAATTTCATTTCAAATATGAGATTTTTGGCTTCAATGTTACTGGATTTTGAGGAGTGCGTTACTATTGACTGCTTTCTTCTTTTATTAGCGATTATATTAGCGATCAAAAAATAAAGACATTTGCTATTTTTGTCAGATGAGGAACTGGGACTTCTGCAAGTGGGCGTTTTTCAGCAGCAAACTTTTTAGTCGACAAGATTAATTCTCAAAAGTTGTGCTGTATTGAGGACATTTGAACGTTTTCGCTCTAATATTAAGATTAATCAGCCAACAACTAAAATCGTAAAAAGTATTAACCAGAAGGTCAAAGGGAAAAATCTCCCCCCTAAATCAATTTAGGGGGGAGAAAGTTCATTTGGTTAAAAGTAATATTTTTCAGCCAATCAGATTTGAGCATAGTGCATGCAGGCCTTACGTCTTGAATTTGCCATTTAATTTTAGGAAAGAGATTGTTCGCATTGCCCAACCGGAAACCTAGGATCCTTTCTTTTAAGAAGAATTATATTTCTTCGAAGATAAAAAAATTTGAAAAAAAGATAGCTTGACAAAAAATTAGCTTGCAATGAATATCATAAAAATTGGACTTATATTAACTCATTGTTTAACAGAATATATTGGGCAAAATTGATAATTTCTTGAGTTCTATAAGTCTAGCGCACTTTTTGCCAAGGCTACCATAACGTCAGTTTTGGCAGTCAATTGTGATAATTGAATCTGGGTCACTTTACAACAGTCCGAATGAGTGTCTCTAACATGCACACTCCCAGTCCAGGTTGAAAGCATTGCGTCCAAATTCGCATCACAGAGTGGCTCCCTAATTCCACGCACTTGAGTGACTCTTCGGCCATCCTGGAAATAATATCAGTTAACAAACTTTTGAATATATAAAATAAGAATATTATTGAAACTTTTTAAGCTGAAACTTTCTTCCTGAAATAATACTGAAGCAAACCAACAAACACGAAAACGAACCGTAAGCTTTTCGTGAAAATGAGGGCAATTTAAGCAGCCTCTGTTTTTTGTAAAAGTAATACATAATACAATGTTGAATAACTGACATATATGGTAACCTGTTGAGAGCCGTTTGCGGTTCTAGAAAAATGTTCTTCTTTAGTCTCCAAGTCTTCCTGCAATTCTGCAGCGAGTGAGTTAATGTTCTGAGATATGCTGCAGATAGCGTCCATGTCGTCCATTCGATTATCCCTTTCAGAGGTATATTTACCAGTTTGACTACTACTTGCCACGGCTGATGACACTATCTGCTGTGCTTTTCGAAGGAACTCTTTCGCTGACAATACCGCGTGCAAGCTTTCCTTGGAACAAACGGTGGTCTTCATATCCAGACATACTTTATACAGCGATTTCATCTTCGGTAAAATATCGTCAGGACTTGTGCCTTCTGAATCCTGGGCTGCCCGACGAACGCTTGCATCACAACTGAATTCATTAACCTGATCAAGAAAATATAAGCTTTTTCAGGAAACCTTGGCATTTGGTTATAATTTATAATTATTCGAACCGGTTATCAGAAAAACAAATCTCATTAAAAATTCGATAATCATGTTTGAGAGATAACAATCATAAAATGGTCCAAACTCCATTTAATAATTTGAACCGAAAGCCATGCACTGCGTAATGAGCAGCATATTTATCCACCGGAGGTTGTACGCTACTTTAGACACACATACAACATTTATCCATATTATTCTCAGGCGAACGCTTCAAAATCATCTCAGACAAGGAAACTACATGACAATGTCATTCTATAAATCTAACCGGGTGTGAGGGGGGTATAATTCACAAGTAAATTGATCAAGAAAGTTGAAAGAGCATTGAAAAACTCACCGAAAAATTGTTTGCAATAAGTTACTTCAATCCAGTTACAATATAAGTTACAACGGTACAGCAGAAAGACATTATAACTTTGGTGCTTTTTTTAGGCTCAGATAAAGGCAGGCAATCAACCGTCAAGGCTGAGAAAAAGTGGTTTGGTGAAAAAAACCACAGATGAACATAGAAGATAACAAAGGCGGATTTAGGAGGACGCCCCCTTAGGGATTCGACCTCTTCGCCAACTAAAAGGTGCCCCCTTTGGTATTTTTTTATGCATCCATTTTAGGCTCACCAACCCTAAAATGTTCTAAGGGCACCTTCGGCGCCAGTATACTAATTTCAAGGGGAGCGCGCGCCCGAAAAACGCTTTTTTTAAAAAACAAAATTGGGTCTTTATAGTGTTCTGTGAGTGCTCAGAAAATCAAGTTAGTCGACCTAAAAAAGGTCAACAAAATTTACAATTTTTTTAAAAACGCCCCCTCGAGAAAATTCTAGACCCGCCCCTGACCTATCTGTTTTGTTCTGATTACTTGCGTTCATTGACTCTCTTTCAACTGTCTGTTGGCTGTTATTGGTATGCAAAGATTTAAAAGGATGCAGTCTTCAAATAAGCAAAAAAGCAGGAGACTTTTATGCTAGCGTCATCAAATATATATATATTTACAATTGATAACGCTAGCATTAGAGTCTCTATGGAAACAAGGTAAGCTGGTTGGTGCGCAGATGGGATAGTTTATTTAAAAAAAATAAATTATCCCAATTAAAATTTAGGCAACTTTGTCGGCGGCTTGGAGAGAGGAACTTGAAGAACGCCAAATTTGGACTTAATAGACAACAGTTGCCTTTCAAAGTGAATCAAAAACAAAAATCAAAAAAGATTCAAACATACTTTAATGTTTTCATGTTTTTTTTAAAATGTTTTTCAAACTTTAAGAGTCAAAGAAGCGCTTCATAAATCTACAATTAAGACTTTCCTTAAGTAAAACTAAGTTTCTGAAGCCTAAGACACTAATTTTCATTCAATAAGCGGCGTCACTAGCTCTCTTTAGAATAAACTTTCGGAAATTTCTTTAATGTTGTCCGAATCACGACATTCATAAGTTACAACACTCGACTCCCTCCTTGTGATGATTATTTCTGGTAAATAATTTTACAAAGAAAAAAACTAAAACAGTAGAATTTCCTCCCTACTTCCAGTAGTCCTAAATAATTACATTCATTTGCATTTATCAAAGAAACCAATTTTCCTTCAAAAAAACGTAACTCGCTCGCTTTACTCTGTAGTTATCAAAATTTTCTCAAAAAAGCTGATTTTCTCGTCGGAGTAAGTTTTTTGAAGTTTCTTTAATGTTGTCTGGATCACAAGTTTCATATGGTACATCACTGGACCCATTCTCATGATTATTTCTGGTAAAATTTTTTACAAGTGATAAATTTAAAACAAAAAAATTTCCTTTCAACATCCAGTAGTCCTAAAATTACATTCATTTACAAGTATTCAAACTCTACTAATTGTTCTCAGGGAAACTAAGAACGGAAACAGCACCTGATAAGATTAAAACAGATATCAGAACTAATTTCTTTATATTACAGTTAAAAATGATCAATGGCAAAATCCACTATTTCAAGAAAGATTCATTGCTCGACATTTGTCAGTGTTGAACTATCATGGAAACCAAAATTTTATCAATGCGCAACTAAGCCGATTAAACTTTGATAGTTGCCCATTGAGCCCATAAATAATTTGTGACAAGGAGTTTAGCTTAAAAAATAAAAAAAACTTGAATTTACGCGAAAGTGTTAATAATTCAGTTGGTTTACAAACATCGTAAAATACAATTTTGGGATGGAACTGAATTTTTCAAAGCAGACAACTCAAAACATATCTGCTGATATGTCAACAGACATGCCAATTATTGGTCAAAATTATTCGATGATTTTGTTTTAAAAAACAGTGTACATGAAAAAAGTCTATGTTCCGATTTGATAACGCTTGCTAATCGCAAGCGTAAAAAGACAAATATGGCAAGACTTTTGAAGTACAATTGCCGGCACTAAAAGAAAAGTGTCCCATGGTTGGCAAAATATTGAAAAGATTGAATGGGATCTTCACAGACCAAACAGAAACGATAACAAATTAGCAAATCAGAGTTAAAAAAGGAAAAAAGAACGGTAGAAAAGACAAAAGACAGGACTTGAACGATTGAATTCAAAATGAAAAAATGTTAAATTGATGAAAATGGTCAAACCAAAACTTTATAGTCATTGAAATTTGAATTCAAAAAATCATTGAACCGCCTCTTTAAAAAACAAATAAGTCAGTGATGTGATGTAGCTGGCCTTTGAAGAGTATCGCAAACTAAACCGACATAAGCTACACCATAAGCCACGAAATTCAATAAAAAGACACAGAGGCGAAGCTGTGCTTCGCACCACTTGCGATACGACAATTATAGGATAGTGCACCATTATGGTTAAAACTTAGCAAACAGAACTTCGTACGATGTTAAAAATGAAGAAGGAACTGGAAAGACGCGAGAAAAAAAACGAAAAAGTTTTTTTTTCTTGTTTAAATTTTTAAAAATTTTATCAAGAGGTCCTAGTGGGGTGGATATTAAGCATTCAAAACTTGGTTTCGGAGTCTTACAGATCTCAAATTTACTACATTTTAAGGGAAGAAAAAATTGGTAAACAAGCCGACAGAATTGAAGCCGAAAACTTTCGTCAAAGAAAACATAAGTGAACAGTTTCCTGTAACGCTCACATAGAATCCACGATAGATATATCAAAAGTGTATGCAAAGTAGACGGTATAATTAAGAAATTAAACCGACACAGCTTCAGTCGACACCCATGAAGCCGAAAAATCATCAGCAGAAAAATAATAAATATACATACAACCGCAAGCGTAAAAAATGCGAATAGAGCAATACCGAATTTGAAAAGTAGGTAAAAATCTAATGTTTATAATTCCTTCAAGATTGACGAGAATTCGGTAAATTGGCCGACATCCAATAAACTGAAACACAGCCAAAAACTTTCGTCAAAAAGACTTGGAAACAATTTCATAAAACGCCCACAAAAAATCCACGATATATTAAGTTACTTCAGTCCAGTTACAATATAAGTTACAACAGTACAGCAGAAAGACATTATAACTTTGGTGCTTTTTTTGGGCTCAGATAAAGGCAGGCAATCAACCGTCAAGGCTGAGAAAAAAGTGGTTTGGTGAAAAAAAAAACCACAGATGATCAAAGAAGATAACAAAGGGGGATTTAGGGGGACGCCCCCTTAGGGATTCGACCTCTTCACCAACTAAAAGGTGCCCTCTTTGGTATTATTTTATGCATATGTTTTAGGCTGACCAACCCTAAAATAATCTAAGGGCACCTTCGGCGCCAGTATACTAAATTTAAAGAGGAGCGCGCGCCCTAAAAACCCATTTTTTTAAGAACAAAACTGGGTCTTTATAGTGTTCTGTGAGTGCTCAGAAAATCAAGTTAGTCGACCTAAAAAAGGTCAACAAAATATTCGATTTAAAAAAAAAAACGCCCCCTCGAGAAAATTCTAGACCCGCCCCTGACCTATCTGTTTTATTCTTTTTACTTGAGTTCATTGTTTCCATAAAGACTCCAATGCTAGCGTTATCAATTGTAAATATATATATATATATATATTTGATGACGCTAGCATAAAAGTCTCCTGCTTTTTTGCTTATTTGACGACTGCATCCTTTTAAATCTTTGCATACCAATAACAACCAACAGACAGTTGAAAGAGAGTCAATGAACGCAAGTAATCAGAACAAAACAGATAGGTCAGGGGCGGGTCTAGAATTTTCTCGAGGGGGCGTTTTTTAAAAAAAAATCGAAAACTTTGTTGACCTTTTTTAGGTTGACTAACTTGATTTTCTGAGCACTCACAGAACACTATAAAGACCCAATTTTATTTTAAAAAAAAATTCGTTATTCGGGTGCGCGCTCCCCTTTAAAGTTAGTATACTGGCGACGAAGGGTTAGTCAGCCTAAAATGGATGCATAAAATAATACCAAAGGGGGCACCTTTTAGTTGGCGAAGAGGTAGAATCCTTAAAGGGGGCGTCCCCCTAAATCCGCTTTTGTTATCTTCTATGTTCATCTGTGGTTTTTTGTCACCAAATCACTTTTTTTTCAGCCTTGACGGTTGATTGCCTGCCTTTATCTGAGCCTAAAAAAGCACCAAAGTTTAAATGTCTTTCTGCTGTACCGTTGTAACTTATAATGTAACTGGACTGAAGTAACTTAATATATCGTGGATTCTATGTGAGCGTTACATGAAATTGTTTCCATAAGGTTTTTGACCAAAGTTTTTACCTGCGTTTCAGCCTATTTGATTTTCAGGCCCATTTACCGAATTCTCGGATATCTTGAAGGAATTATAAATATTAGATATTGACCTACTTTTCAAATTCGGCATTTTTTATTATGAATTTATTAAAATTTATCATAAATCACTAGCGTATGCAAAGTAGACAACATAATTTTGAAATTAAACCGACATAGAATCAACTCGAAAAATACAATAAGCAGATAAAAAATGAGCCAAAATAATTTGGGTAGAAAAAAACTTTTAAGCGATAAAAAAACAACAAAAAAGAAATTATGACAATTTGAATTTAGGTAAAAAATAAACCGCCAAAAAATCAAAACAGGAAAGATACATTTCTACTCTTGTATAACAAAAAAAACAATTGTACGATGTGGCAGCTAAGCCGAAAAAACATAAAGGGACAAATCGTAGGCCGACAGTTTTTTGAAAAAGAATATTTAGCGTTTGAAAACAAAACTAGTCCTGACAGATTCGAGACCAGGACCTTTGCTGTCCCAGGCGTATGCGTTAACTCCAGACCATGTGCACCGGAGACACTTAAATTTGAGTTTTTTGTGAACTGAACCTAAAAATACTATTTCTAATTTTGACCATTCTGTGAACAAAGTTAATTACGGGAAAAAGTCCCAATTGCAATATACTTGCTTATCGCAAGGGTATAACATAGGCGCTACGCGCAATACACCGAAGGCATAAAAACTGAAGCAAAAACCAAACAACTTGAACAACTAATAATTGAAGAATAACAGTTCTAGAACAAAAAATCGTACTAATACATGTATACACCAAAATTTTGCTATATCGAGAAAGAGCCTGAAATAACAGTTCTAGAACTAAAAATCGTACTAACACATGTATAGGTTAAATTTTTGATATATCAACGAAGATCATAAAATAACACTTCTAGAACTAAAAATCGTACTAACACATGTATACACCAAAATTTTACTATATTGACAAAGAGCCTGAAATAACAGTTCGTGAGCTAAAAATCGTACGAACACATGTATACACCAAAATTTTGCTATATTGGCAAAGATCATGAAATAACAGTTCGAGAGCTAAGAATCGTACTAACACATGTATACATCAAATTTTTGCTATATTGACAAAGATCATGGAATAACAGTTCGAGAACTAAAATGGTACTAACACATGTATACAATAAAATTTTGATATATTGACAAAGATCATGAAATAACAGTTCGAGAACTAAAAATCGTAATAACACATGTATACACTAAAATTTTGATATATTGACATTGATCATGAAATAACAGTTCGAGAACTAAAAATGGTACTAACACATGTATACGCTAAAATATTGCTATATTGACGAAGAGCCTGAAATAACAATTCTAGAGCTAAAATCGTACTAACACATGTATACACCAAAATTTTGCTATATCGAGAAAGAGCCTGAAATAACAGTTCTAGAACTAAAAATCGTACTAACACATGTATAGGTTAAATTTTTGATATATCAACGAAGATCATAAAATAACACTTCTAGAACTAAAAATCGTACTAACACATGTATACACCAAAATTTTACTATATTGACAAAGAGCCTGAAATAACAGTTCGTGAGCTAAAAATCGTACGAACACATGTATACACCAAAATTTTGCTATATTGGCAAAGATCATGAAATAACAGTTCGAGAGCTAAGAATCGTACTAACACATGTATACACCAAAATTTTGCTATATTGACAAAGATCATGGAATAACAGTTCGAGAACTAAAATGGTACTAACACATGTATACAATAAAATTTTGATATATTGACAAAGATCATGAAATAACAGTTCGAGAACTAAAAATCGTAATAACACATGTATACACTAAAATTTTGATATATTGACATTGATCATAAAATAACAGTTCGAGAACTAAAAGTGGTACTAACACATGTATACGTTAAAATATTGCTATATTGACGAAGAGCCTGAAATAACAATTCTAGAGCTAAAATCGTACTAACACATGTATACACCAATATTTTGCTATATCGACAAAGAGCCTGAATAAACGTTGTAGAACTAAAAATCTTACTAACACATATATACACCAAAATTTTGCTATATTGACAAAGAGCCTGAAATATTGACAAAGGACCTGCAATAACAATCGTAGAACTAAATGTCGTACTTACGCATTGTAGATCAATTTCTATAGCTATAATAAAATACAAAAGATTGTGTTTGTATGTGTAGCAAAACGCCTCCTGTCGTTTCAATCGGCCAATCGTATAAATTGTAATGTAGACTCATATGGGTCTCCGGAATAACTAAAAATCGTACTTACACATATACTTACAAGAAAGAGCTAAAATGAAAAAAAGCTATGAGTCTTATTATATTGAGAAATTGTGAAGCAGTCTCAGAATTGACAGTATGTAGCAGTAAAACAATCCGAAAAACAAATCCAAAAAACAAAAAAAATACTTGCAAAGACATGACACAGATCTGAAAAATGTACCAATGTTGGTATTCATGAACAAAACTTCAAAAGTTGAAGAACAGAATTGAGATAGCAACTGTTGTCATCATTTGCAATGCTCGTGGGTCGAAATGGCTCCATTACATGACTGAAAATAGAAGTAACATAAAATTTAACATTTTGCTTTACGTTATTGAGTCCACGCTCCAACAAATTCTTTTTTGAGAAATACAAAAGCAAATTTGAAAATTAATTATCGGACAGATATAACTATAGATAAATCTTTAAAATAAATAATTTAAAATCATTTTTGATGTAGCTGCAACCCAAAAGCAAATGGACAAATCTCGTTGGCAGCGTTCCCTGTAAATCGTTGTACGCTAATTGGTGATATACAGATCTTTCTGAAAATATCCTAAACAGAACAATAAATTGAAAATCATTTTTTGCTTTTAACTACATAGCTAAGAAGTAAAACATCAAATTTCACAATCAAACAACAAAGACGCTAACTAAATAAATAAATAAATGAACGAACAAACCAACAAATGAACGAACAAACCAAAAATAAATAAACATAAATAAATAAATGAATAAATAAATACATACATGAATAATAAATAAAAGCAAAACTAAATGAAAGAAAATAATTAAATAAAGATAGCAATAAATATCAACGAATAAACAAAATACACCTGATAAATAAATAAACAATAAAAAAATAAATCAATACATAAATAAATAAATACATACATAAATAAATAAATAAGTAAATAAATAAACGCAAAACTGAAATGTACAAATAATTAAATTAACATGAAAAAATATATATCTCATGAACAAATAACCAAACAAACAGACCCATAATATAAATAAATGAAAGTAAATAAATGAAATAAATACACATACATAAATAATAAAAGCAAAACTAAATGAAAGAAAGAATAATTAAATAAATATAGAAATAAATATCAACAAATAAACAAAACACACCTGATAAATAAATAAGCAATAAAAAAATAAATAAATACATAAATAAATAAATAAATACATAAATGAATACATAAATAAATAAATATATAAATAAATAAAAGCAAAAGTGAAATGTACAAATAATTAAATAGACATGAAAAAATATATATGAACAAATAACCAAACAAACAGACCCATAATATGAATAAATGAAAATAAATAAATGAAATAAATACACATACATAAATAATAAAAGCAAAACTAAATGAAAGAAAGAATAATTAAATAAATATAGAAATAAATATCAACAAATAAACAAAACACACCTGATAAATAAATAAGCAATAAAAAAATAAATCAATACATAAATAAATAAATAAATAAATAAATACATAAATAAATAAATAAATAAATAAATAAAAGAAAAAGTGAAATGTACAAATAATTAATTAGACATGAAAAAATATATATGAACAAATAACCAAACAAACAGACCCATAATATAAATAAATGAAAATAAATAAATTAAATAAATACACACGCAGAAATAATAAAAGCAAAACTAAATGAAAGAAAGAATAATTAATTAAATAAACAAAACACGTGATAAAAATAAACAAAAATAAATATGTACATACATAAATTATAAATAAATATAAGCAAACTAAACATAATTAAATAAATAGAAGAACAGATAATTAAATAAATAAAGATGAACAAATAAAGAAACAAACATACGCAATCACGTGACATAGCGCGATATAGTCCAGCCCACATGATAATTGATAACTGTGGACGTTATTTGTCGACTCTTGACAACAGACAACATTAAAAAAAAAACCCGTTACACGATACCATAACACCTTGACTAAAGTCTTCGGTGTAAATATGATTTAAATCAATTTATGACAATTCGTTTTGAAACACTCTTAAAACAGATCCTAGGCGGATTCGAATACTTAACGGTTGCTGCCCCTTGCACGGACGTTTACTCTTCATGTGTGAATCAAGACACGCTGAGTAAGGATTGATTACGAACTAAGATTCCATTAAATCAGCGATTTTGTCGCCAATTTATTAGCCTGGAAAAAGTATACTTTCAACGCAAGCATTATAAAAACTAACAGAAACTTTGAACTTTCTCCCAAAAAAGCTTAACTCTGCAAGATCGAAAATAACAACTAAAATGATTACATGACTGCTTGCATCAAGGCAAAGCCCTGAATGCTTTGACGGCATTTTAAGCTCTACAGAAAATTTTTTTGCTCAGAAATGGGCGAAATTTCAAAAAAAAACATTTTGAATTATTTTTTCGAAAACCAACCCTCACAAGCTAATATGAAATAGACCAAATTGCTCACCTTATTTTAATATGGAACAGTTTCTAAGACGCATTAAACCTCCGCTCATGAATACCCCCATAACTTCACGAAAAATGATCAAAGAAGAAACACCTTTTTGAATTTGAGCTTGGGACAACAATAAGCTACGATTGATGAAAAAAAATTCCGTCAAACATGGCTAGTTCAAAACTTGAATATTGTCTGGAGAAAAAAAAACAACACAAGCACAAATATTCTATCATTTTCTTTGAAAATACTCGGAACAAAAGCCAAAAATAACAATTTCAACCTGCTTTTTGGTTCCGGGTCTATTCTCTTGTGAATCTGGAAATGTTTCTTCTGGAAATATTTCGGGAATTAATTCGCCTTCTTGAGTACTTTGAGAACCTTCGGTGTGTAACTCGCTCCTTTTTGCTTTTGGTGTAATCATCTGTGTTCCGCATACCCCAGCCTCTGCCAACATAGAAGGACTTGAAGGAGGAGAGTCCATTTCAGTGTCTAAATTTAAAATCGAAATTACGCAAAGATGTTCAAAATGGAGGCGAAGCGGAGCTTGCAACACTTGCGATACCACATAATAATAACACTGCAAGCAAAAAGACAGGTAGGGAAAACGACAGTACAACAAAAAACGAAAAATCTTCGGAAAAAACTACAACCAAAACTTGAAACCTTTGTCTGGAATTATGTTCTTTGTGCGAAAACACGTTCAGAAATACAATCGATAGCAATTTGCAATATTCAAAACCAATTATCGAGCGGCAAATGAGCCGAAAAAGTTTGGGTAAATTCCAGCAAAACTGAAAACGAAATTGTTGTCATGAAAAACTTTGAACAATAAATTCTATTTAAAGACTTTTGACATTTTGTGCACTCCGAAAAGCATAAAAATTGCGTTTCCATTGAAACGACCCAACATTAGGCCACTAAGTCGATAAAATATAAGCAGAAAAAAATTGGGTCGAATAGAAACTTAAGCGAAACAGAAAAAAAAACCTGAAAAAATTAAATTTGAAGTCAAGGTCAGTCAAATTAAAACTGCAGGAATAAATAAAAAATTTGAATTAAAAAAATGTATTTTGCGTGCAGCAAAAAAGTGATTGTAAGATGAAGCATGTAAGCCAATAAAATATCGACAGACAAATATACTTCAGAAAATTTATTTGAAACAATATTTACCGCTTGAAAAAAAAAGAGTTTGGTCAGATTCCAAACGAGGGCCTTTGCCGTCCCAGCCGTATTACTTACCTCCAAGCTTAGTGTGCGGGAGATGCTAAGAAGTTTGAATTTCAGTAATTTGAAGTCGGTAACCGGCTGCAATACCCTTGCTAGTCGCAAGGGTAAAAACTTTAATTCACTTTTGGCTCAACTTGTTAATGCTCAAAAAAATCTAAATGATAAATGTTCCAAAACTTTTTCATAGTATCGACGTAATTTGAAGTCGAGTACCCGGCTGCATCACTCTTGCTAATCGCAAGGGTAAAAATAATAATTCAACTTTGGCTTAACTTTGGAATACCCAAAAATTCTAAATTATAAAAAACCCCAAAACTTTTTTGAAGTATCGAAAAACAAAGATCACGTGAAAAGCTATCCATTACAACTGATGTCTTAGACAGCACTAAGCTATGCAATGATTCACTCAAACGACAATGAAAAACTTAATTTGCAAAAACGAAAAAAAATTCAGCATTTAATTTGAGCTGAACTAAGAGGAATCAAAAACGATGGTCAAACCGTGAAATTTAAATTTAATTTAGATCGCGAACTACGTAAGACTTTTATTTCAGAAAACATCATTAAATAAATAAGTGTTTTCACAATGTTCATTATGACAATAATAAAAAAAAGCTTAAGAATTAGTCGAAAGCAAACATATATATTGAAAACAATGAGATCTGAAGCGAAGCAAAAATCAAGAAACATTTAAATGAACACTTCGCTAAAAATAGCTGGAAAGCTGTCATCCGGCATGGACCGACAAAACCTAGTTATATATATTTATATACATGTTTTATGTTAATGTATGTTATAACCATACATATGGCTGGTCAATCGACCTTGAGAGATCTTCTCTCAAGCAGCGACCGAATGATCGATCAGACCAAGAATTAACATCTAGTTGTTTTATCTCGCTTCGCGTTAGAATATCAGTTTGTCGATCCATTCGGATTCTGGAATTAGAAGATCATACATTGAGGTATGACATGGCGCAGCCAGCAGGATACTCAAAAAACCCACTCAATATGAACCCGTTCTGAGAGAAGGCATCTGTTGAACCACCACTAGAGTGGTCTAAGTGGGCAGCAATAATGGAAATGGCTATATTTGCGAAAGATGGGATCGAAGTACGAAATCTATTGAGAGCCCGACCAGCATTAGTCGAACCTCCAGAACCAGTGTACGAGGTTGAAATCACAGGAGAAAATGAGGCACAAAGGAAGAATAGAGAAGTCAGAAACCAAGAGAAAAGAGTTGGTTGGGAGAACCACGTAATAAAAGCACGAGAGAAAGGAGTACTTTGTAATTCATTCAGATGGGACGAAACCGTTGCAAAAGTACGCAGTTACATATTCTTATGCTTAGGAGCAGAAGGACAAAGACAAATACAACAAAAATCAGGTATTGAAAACAATGAGATCTGAAGCGAAGCTAAAATCAAGAAACATTTAAATGAACACTTCGCTAAAACTAGCTGGAAAATATTCAAGGGTTAGATATTTTTTGTCATCAACAATACCCAAAACAAAATTAATTCAGGTTTAGTTCTTGTCCTCTAGTTTGCTACTTGGTTTCTCAAGTTGAAAAACAAGCCAACAAACCGTCACCAAACAACCAGTTCCAAAAAATATTGATTATTGTCATTCTAATCAACCAAGGTGACCAAGAAGATTGATTTCACTATTTTTCAAGCCAAACTTGGCATCAAAAGAACACATCGTAGCAACTTTAGCAAGACACCATTTTGAAGTTCTGTCTTTTGTAATTCGGATACCAATACCAAATTTGAAATAATCTCTTTTAGGTTTCTTAAATTAGTTTACAGCTAAATCACTTAATAAAGAGTCATGCAACGTTATTTCAAAAGATTGACTTGCAAAAAAAATCTTTTCTTTTAGCAGAAAATGACCATGAAAAGCACCATTTGTAAATAAAAACAAATGTTGATTTTCCGATTATTTATTCAAATCATTTTAGAGCAATTTTTGCAACCAACTCAATTTAATTGAATTCTGGATTAAAGCAATCATTTAAGCTATTGCGAAGTGTTCAATTGTAGATTTAACCGAACTGAAGAAATTAAAATCAAATAATAAATTCAAAAAAAATTGCTGTAAAGAAATTAGCGAAAAACTAATTAAATTGCTCAAAAATTATTACCAGAAACTATTGGAAATAACATATTAGGTTACTACACTGGCAAAAAACGTCACCCAATAAGCTACAAATCAATCACAATTTAGCGGTGGTATATGAAATTAGGTCTCGATAAAAAATAAATTGGCGCCCAGCTAAAGCCGAAGGAGCGTGTTTGATAATGAATGAACTTGTTATAATAATGCGAGACGAAATGTGTGATTTCTTTGACTTTGCCCAAAGTTCTTAGTTGTTTTTTTTTTACTGAAAATAAGTAAGAAGAGCGGAAAGGCGATATTCCATATTTCGAATAAAATTTCTTTTACAAAAAATAGAGGAGTCGCCACAAGAACAATTTTCGCAACCGTTTTTTTTTTTCAACTTTAATAGGGTCGTTTTTAAGAAAACTCGAAAAAGTTCTAAGAAACGGTCAGAAGTTCTAGGAAACAGTCAAGGCTTTCCCAAATCCATATGTTTGTCTGTGCAAAAAACAGTTCGTGGCCGCTCAAGTAGTGAAGATTCCCAAAAGCAGTTTCTCGATTTAACACTTAATCTGAGAATTAACACGGTAGTTTTCGATTTAAGTCAAAAAAGTTTCCAAAAAACGGTCTAACTTTCAAAAATTGTCAATACTTGTGTGAAGGCCATAATTTTTTCTAAACAAATCGGCGTAGTAAACTATAAGGGGAACACCATGAAAAACTCATTATTCCGATTAAGCCTATGATATCAGATTTGGCAGGATATTTATCGAGAAATAGAAAAATTATAGCTTTTTTTGTGTAAAATAATTTGTGCCTGCCCGCTGATGCAAAACAGCTTCGCACAACCCGTTCTGTGAACTGAACCCTAAAACTCTCGGGTATGGCAGGGTAGTTTTCATGAAAATTCGAAAAGCTTAAGAAAACGGTCTTAAAAATAAAAATTTGATTTTCCCGAGGGCAATTAATTTTTGTGTAAAAAAAATTGCGAGTAGCTGCTAATGCAGGAGAGCTTCCATCTACGCGCTATCTCCAGTGAAACGAAAATCTCAGATTTTGGAGGTTAGTTTTTGAGTAAAGCCAAAAAGAATAAGAAAAACTTTCATAAAACCAAAACTTAGACTTTTCCGAGAACCATAACTTTTGGTGTCAAATTTGCTTTTGGCGGAGTCGCATATGTAAAGAAGTTTCCCACAAACGGTTGATTGAATTGAACTCAAAAATCAAAAATTTAACTATTTCGAGGGCCATAGTTGTTAACAATGGGAATAGCCACTTCTGCAGGGGAGTTTTGAAATCCGTTCTATTCATTGAAACTAAAAACTGGGAGAGAGGCTTTCGATTTGAGAGGGAGGTTTTCGAGAAAACGAAAAAAAAACAAGGATCAAATGTTCGCCTCAACGACTTTTTCGAAGGCTGTAGGTAGATAAATAAAGTAAAAAGAGACGAGTATGCAAGAACACAGAAGTGTAGGCGGAATTTCCCTCAGTACCAACTAATTGGAAATTGGAAGAAGTTTCTGAGAACAACAAACTTTAGCAAAAAGTGATAAACTTTTTAACAGCAACTCAAAAAAAAAAAACAAAAAAAAACGACCCATACATTTTCACAAAACCTGTTTCAAACAGCAATTCCAGGCAAAAATTCCTATCAAAACATCTCAATTTTAAATAAGTAACCGAACAAACTTTGTGAATTAGAAAAAAAGCTGACAATCTTAACGCAGACACTAAGAAAATTCAAATCCTTTGTAAAACTACAATGAACGACACTTGCAATTACCCTGACACTTGCTTAGAGCACAAGAATAAGAGAGCAGATTAACGAAAGCCCGACAAAGCAAATTTTACCGCAAAAAATTTCAATTGCATACTATATTTAAAAAAAAAAAGATCCGGCAGCGATTCGACCGGCGGGCCTGATATTTAGGACGACGACGTCTCCTCTTGGTTACGCTCAAAGGAGCCTGGAATATTTGAAGATGTAGTATCAAAGCAAGATAAAAAGTTGTACACAGAGGCTACACAGATGACTATGAAAATCAAACGGAAAAAAAATCAAAAAATCGCTTTTGGCAAAAAAACTGCAACGAAAGTCCAAAATATTCAAAATAAATTGCCTGCACCAGTATAAACTTTACAAAAAATTTTAAGAATG